CCAATATGCCGATTCGTGAGGTAGGGTGAAGTGGGGAGAGAAAAAACCCGAGAGAGAGGAGAAAGAAGAGGAAGAACGCTCGAGCAGGAAGGTTGGGGCGGGGTTAAAATAAAGGCTCGGCGCCAGGGTGACTAGCGCCGAGCTTCCTGCCATGTCACCTTCCACGTCCGCTTCGAGCCCAGGAGTTCGGCACCAGGGACGCTGGCGCCGAGACATGTTAGCTCGGCGCCGAGCTAAGGGTCCAGATTCTAAAATCTTTCCTCTAGGGGTCTATTTGTGAAAAACTTTCAAAAAAATGGCTAAAAAGTAAAAAATTGGCGCAGGACAGGGAGTCAGGGACGGTGCTTTCCGCTGGCGCCTGTGTGAACTGGGAAGCGGTTTTGAGCTCTGGGGACGGCGGCGTCCTCCTCGTGCGGTTAGGCTCGGCCACGTCAGCCGTTGGGATGGGCCCCTGGCGACGCGAGGCCGCGAAATGCATGTTCGTGGAAATACCCCGCCATATCTTTGATTCCCTGCATGGATGCTTCTAGAGATGCCTTCCGTGTCTCGCGCTCGGTTTAGGATACTGTACTCCCTCGATGCAATCTTTAAAATATTTTTATATTTTCTATTTATATAATACTTCCTCCGTTCTAAAATAAGTGATGTTTTAGGTTTATCCTAAGTTAAACTATTTCAAGTTTAACCAAATTTATATAAAAAAGTACTAATGTTTATGGTACCAAAAAAGTATTATTGGATTTATCATGAAATATATTTTCATATTCTACACATTTCGTGTCCTAAATATTAACGTTCTTTCATATAAACTTGGTTAAACTTGAAATGGTTTGACTTAGGACAAACTAAAACATCACTTGGACGGAGGGAGTATTAGTTAAACTTAGAGCAACTCTAAGTTTCTTCGATCTGTATATCTATGTTTGGGAGCCATTTCATAAATATTGTATTTGTAAATCTCCTATGTCAAATTTCTAATCTCTTATATAGTTTATCGTAACTTTTCTTGTTCGAAAACTTCATAAGGGAACTCTGTATCCGTGGAGAGCGAGAAAGGTGTATTTGATAGCGGAAAAGATGAAGAATGATTTTATAGTAAAGATTGGTGAGCGATAAGTTTAGATAAGTTCACCTAGACCAGCCTAATTTTATCTACTATATTTTCATATATTTACATAATCCCTCAAAAATTACTCTGCCGAACTTTCACACTGACTACAACATATTGTTATCACGGCTACTTTCTCTGCATTGATTGCATTGCTATTTCCGTCTACATTCCTCGACGACCCTGACTAGGTTAACCCTGGCATCGTCCCCTTTCATAACGATTGCTTCAATGTATCTCCGTCATTACCATAGTGCCTCTTTTGCGCCTGTAGCTTCATGTGCAACCGCTTCGACATAGGCTACCTTGATTGCTACGCTAACCACGGCTATCTCTAGCATGCCATTTTTTTACCATGGCTATTTTGCCTCCACGCTCGCCTACCTCCACATCTAGACTAAGGGCTACCGCCTTAATTTAGCACTCCAACCACACATCTGTGATGCATCGGCCGTTATAACGAGAGGATGTATCCTCGTCGACTTACAACCTTCAGCTTCTTCTCTGGTTTCATTGTTTATGCTGCTCCCGCTGTGATTGTCCCCTAAGCAATGTGTTTCTATGTATATCTACCCACAAGGCTCAAAAATACAATTAACAATTCCACCAATTCGCTCACTCCTACACTGCTACACATACGCCTAAAAGCCATCAATCGTTGATCTTTAATAAGAAAACTTTATTTCATTGGTTGATTACTAACCAAAGTCCAAACTGTCTTTAGATTGTCCACTAAAATTTTCTTGCACAAGCTCGCTACAATGAGAGCTAGTACATGCACATCCTCTCTAAAGGCTTTGGCACAAATATTATGGGGCTCAATGCGCTCCCAAGGTGTTCCTTCTTATCGAGACACCTATCGAATCTCGCGCTCGCTCTGTACCCCCAGCCCGTAACACGGGCACACGGCGACGGCAGCGGCCCGCGCCTTTTTTTTCTCCTATACGCAACCAGCACGGCAGCACGGACCGCACTGCCGCCGTACGGCGACATGACGGCCGACGGCGCCGCGGAGTGGCAAACTCGTAGATATCTCGCGAAAGCAGTCCCGGAAGATACAGCAATCTGTTTTCCACGCCGGACTCCGTTGCAGCCAGCCACCTTTCCTCCCTCCTTCCCTCTCCAAGTCTCCTTTCGCTTCCGATCACCAAAAAGACCTTTCTTTTCGTCGCCCTCGGTGCTCTGCCTCGCTGCGTCGCCCGTCTCTAAAAGCCTTGTGGATTGTGGACGCCGACGCGGCCGCAGCAGCAGCCACGAGAGTAGAAGCGCCGAGAGAGAGAGAGAGAGGTGTCCGTCGCTGCCTACCGAGAGACGGATGAAGAAGTGCCCGTCGGAGCTGGAGCTGGAGGCCTTCCTCCGCGGCCGTGAGGTCGTGCACGACGTCGCTGCGCTGGCGCCGTTCGGCGCCGGTGGCGTGTCCCCCCCCAGCGATCTGTCCGCCTTCAGCTTCGCTGACTCGGTGAGTAGAAAGCAGAGCAACTTTGACACTGCGTGAATTACTGAGTGGAGTGGAGACATAACATAAGAGGGACATGTATTTCTCTGTTTTTTGTCATTACAAATTGGTGCTTCAGATCTCTTTGTGTATGTAGTGTTAGAAATTCCAGCGCTTTGTGACATGTGGATCAGTGGATGAGATCTTGTTAATTTAGGATGAATTTTTTTCCACTGGTGCACCTCGTGCCACCAACTGATTTTAGCCCACTTTTGTTTTGTTATTATTAGTAACATGCTTCACGTTCTTTTTTTTTTGATGTTATGCTTCACGTTCTTAATAGCAATTTTGAATGGTATGATCACAATTGTATCTTGAACCCTAATAAGCATGTTGAAGCAAATCAGGAGTCTTCTCCTAAATGCATAATTTCCTTCAAAACATTCATAATTATCAAGCCAAGGTTCTAAGAACTAATATAAGTACTTGGCTCTGAATTTCACATGACAATTAAGCAAGACCTGACCACAAAAAAGATCACATAGCTAGAGTACTACTGTATATATTTTATATTGTTGTAGACCTTGATATGGATGTAGATAACTCCATTAAGTTTGCTTTTGTTTTGTCCAAGCAGAACACTCTCAATGGAAGCATTCATAACCACCTATGGTCCCATAACCACAACGTGAGGCATCCAGCAGTCTCCACAACAATCGAATCGCAATCGTCAATCTGTGGTATTATATATATATATTGCTGTACATGGTTCCTCTTCCACATTTTTCGGTCTCTCTGTTGTAGTTTTGACAATTGATTAGTTAAATAGATAGGTTTTGGCATTTGATGAGATGAGCCAGTGGCAGAAATAAATGTTGCAACAGACAAATTGGGCTTAAATGATTGCAAGGCATAATATAAGTTATTTCAGTGTTCTGGCTAGCTCATACCAAATTCAATCATTGGCAGCAGGAGCAAGTCCAACATCAGCCACCAACCTATATCTGAAAGAGAGCCAAACTTTGGGTGGCACAAGTGGTTCAGACTCCGATAGTGAATCGCTGTTGGATATCGAGGGTGGTCCATGCGAACAAAGCACAAACCCACAGGACGTGAAGAGAATGCGACGGTACACCAAGAACATGAACAATGTTTTCTTCAGCATTTTCTTAATTCACTATTAGCATTATATAATCATATCAACAAAGCAGAAGTTAGGATCGGAATCTTTTATTATCTCAAGTGAATGTTGAGAAAAAAATGCTAACATAGGAGACTAAGATAAGCTGAAATGTTTGGCTCAAATCACAGGATGGTGTCGAACCGTGAGTCTGCTCGACGGTCGAGGAAGAGGAACCAAGCCCACTTAGCTGATCTTGAGACACAGGTAACCACTACTATGTTGTCTTTGTTTTCCACAGTGCTGGTACAAATGTTAAGCTTCCATATAGGGTTTTCAATTTCGGTATTAGACTTTTTTTCATTCACCCCCGAAATTACCGAAATTTGTGAAATTAGAGACTTAAACATAAAGTATAATTTCTAAAAAAAATAGATCTAAACAAAATGTTAGCATGATTTATGATTACATATTTATCGAGTAAAGGAATGCAAAATAAACAATAGAAAATGTGAATATAGAGTTATATATTTACAATAAAGTACATGTGTTAGTGTAATGCAAAATTTCGGATTTTTCTATCAGCCATCCTTCTAATTACTGAAAGTTGCAGAAATTTTGAACCTAAACCATAGCATGATTGTGGTTGGTTTCTCCAGCTTCATTCTGACTTACAAACTACGTCCTTGGAAACAGGTTGACCAGCTGCGAGGCGAAAATACATCGCTCTTTAAGCAGCTGACAGACGCCAACCAGCAATTCACAACCGCAGTCACGGACAACAGGATCCTGAAATCAGATGTGGAGGCCCTCAGAGTCAAGGTGGCCGCCGGTCATATTCTTCATTGCAGGTGAAATCCGTGATCATCCCGTTCACCTCCTCTGAAATCGTTCCGTCTCCGCCGTACGTTGGTCTTGCAGGTGAAACTGGCGGAGGACATGGTGGCCCGCGGCGCGCTGTCGTGCGGGCTGGGCAGCCTGGGGCTGTCGCCGGTGCTGAACCCGCGGCAGGCATGCCGTGGCCCCGACGTGCTGTCCGGCCTGGACTTCCCCGGCGATGACGCGTGCTTCACGGGGCTGTCCCCGACGGAGCAGCTCCAGAACTCGCCCCTGCAGAGCATCGCCAGCCTCGAGAGCCTGGAGAACCGGATGGCTAGCGAGGTGACGAGCTGCGGCGGCCCCGGCGTCGACGCCTGGCTGTGGGATCACTCCAACGGCGGGCTGTCCAAGTGAAGCTGAAGAAGGCAAGAAGCCGAAGCGTGGTATTCGCACGCCGATGGCAACTATCCTGCAGCAGCTCGTCGTACCCAAAGACGGCCAACCCGCCGGCCTCGGCGATGGCTCCCAGGGCCGCGGCGAGCGCCACGCAGACCTTTTTCTTCCCCTCTTCCTCGTTGAACTACTCCTCGCCCCCGCCGCGCTGCCGCTTCGCGGCCGACGCGTCCACGGCCCTGATCGCCGGCTCCACGTCCACGGACTCCACCGCGCGCGCCCACCCCACGATCAGGCGCGGCATGTCCTCGCCGTCCTTGACGCAGCTCCGCGCCCAGCCCCAGAGCGCGGCCGCGTACGCGCGCTGCGACTCGGCCCACGCCTCCAGCGCGGCCCGCCAGCCGCGGAGCTCCGACCCGAGCGCGCCCGCGCCCGCCGCCGTGCGCGCCGCGCCCGGGGGCGGTGGCGGGCCCCTGGTACCTCCTTCGCCTGCCGGGACGGGCCGAGCGGCGGCTGAGGACGTGAGGAGCGCGATCGAGTCGTCGGCGGTGCGCTTCATCACCCAGTGGGAGACTTTTGGCATTTCACCCATCTTCGGAAACTGCTTTCGTACTTTTACCATTCCGCAGAGTGGTTTCGCTCGTTTGCCATTATAAAACTTGTGTAACCCGTCAAAATATATTTTAACGAGGTCCTTCCACTTCTACCCTGCCTGCTTTCTCCTCCTGCCGCCGCTCCTCCTGCGGCTCACCTGGTCGCACTCGCCGCACGGAGCCCCGACGCTCTCCTTTGCCAGCCCCACCGCGTTGTCCCCCGCCGTCCTCCTCCTCCGCCGCAAGGGCACCTGCTGCCTCCCCTCCTCCTCGGCACACAACCCCTCGCTCGCCCTCTTCTGGGACCTCACCGCTGCCAGGTACGACGTCGCGGCCTCGTCCTCCTCCCCGTCCTCGTCCTCGGAGCCGGTCTCTGGGTTCTACGCTGGCGCCGAGGTGGTGCTGGCCGTGGGCGACCTGGCGGCGGAGTTCGTCAAGGCCAAGTTCGAGGGCCAGATCCCACGGGCGCGCTCCATCCGCCCCGTGTCCCGCGCCGACCGCGTCGTCGTGGCGGCGGCGCCGGGGCAGACACCGGGTGCCGCGGTGCACACCGCGCGGGTCCGGTTCGCCGAGGGCGCGCTGGAGCACGAGGTCGCCGTGGGCTGCTGCCGCGCCTCCGCCTCCGGCAGGCCCAGGGAGGAGGAGCTCTGGGTCAGCGTCGACGGCAAGTGCGCCGTGCACGCGCGCCGCCTGCGCTGGAACTTCTGGGGCAACCAGATCGTGTTCGTCAACGGCGCGCCCGTCGACGTGCTATGGGACCTCCACGACTGGTGGTTCCAGGACCCGCCCGGCTGCGCCGTCGTCATGCTCCGCGCCAGGAGCGCGCTCGAGAGCAGGCTCTGGCTCGAGGGATCCGTTTTGACCACGAACGGGGAACGGTGCAGGCAGGAGTAGGAATGGAAGGATGTGTCTTCTTCTTCTTCTTTCCACGGATTAAAAGTACCCAAAATATATTTAAGCAGGTTACGTCAATTTTATAATGACAAACGAACGAAACCACTTTGTGACATAGTAAAAGTACGAAATCAGTTTCTGATGATGGGCGACATGACAAAGTCTCCCCGGTGCGCGTCCGCGATCACTCTCCACGTCCTCGCCAACCTGATCGAGCAACGAACGAACAAAAAGATGCAGAAATTCTGCCATGATTCCACATTTCCACTAGTACCATAATTCGTTCGGATGGCCGTGTTCATGCGGCCTCCGTCGAGCACGTACCCTCGGACGAGCTGCGTGAGCTGCGGTAGGAGCTCGTCGTCGCGCACCGCGGCGATCCTCCTGTACACGGCGGGCCTGTTCGCTTGTGTGAATTTCGGAGAAATTTAGATGGTTTGGAGGAATGCTGGAGGAATCTGTGAGAGAAAAACACTGTTTCAAATAAAAAAATAAGCGGAAAGCCGGGTTCAGGGCACGTGAACGGGGCCGGCGTCGACGGAGGTGAGGCAGATGTCCAGCTTGGTCCGGAGGTCCCTGACGGCGGCCCTCGTCTTCTCGATGGCGAACGGCTCGGCGCCATTGGCGTCCTGGCTCCTCAGCAGCGCGCACTTCTTCTCGTAGGCCAGCCGGACTTTCTCCCCTGCCTTTCGTTCACGTTGGCAAATTCTCAGCTCACTGATTAGTTTCAGCACAAGAGAGAGAGAGAGAGATGAATCAGGGGAGCAGGGTGCACGTACCCTGACCTCCTCGTACAGCCTCTTCTCCCACTCGTAGAGCCTGTCAAGGCTCTCCTTGTGGCTCTGGAACAGCTTGAACGGCTCCGGCGGGACCTCTGGGGCGCCCTGCTCCTCGCCGTCGTCCCTCGGAACAGGTGATTGAACTGTCTAGAAGAGAGCAACGGTCAATGGAACGACGATGTGCAAACTGCAATGGAGAAGAGACAGAGCACGTACCTCTCCTCTGGTAGGGGACAACCTCCAGCAGCACGGAGACCTCTTTGGCAGTGTCAAGAATCTTCATGAAATGGCCCTGGATGTCCGTCATGGCCTCCCCCATGCTCGCCGGTGTCCGGTCGACGTACACGGTGAAGCCGGGTGCGCCATTATGCTGCTCGACTTCTGCAGTTGCCAGGACTCTCAGCTCGTTCTTTACATGATCCACCTTTTTCTCCACCTTCTCCCTCGCCGGCGGCGGCACCACCGGTGCTGCTGCTGCTGCTGCTGCCTCTTCACCCTTCTCCTCTGCTTCGCCTTCACCTTCTCCGCTGCCGACGTCATCGTCACTCTTGTTAGTTACTCCTATATGCTAATAATAGGCATGTTTATTTTCAGTTAGAGCATGCGCACAGGCACCGGGTTGTGGTGTTCGTGCGCCGAGTAGTTCAGGTAGTTAGCATGCCGCTATGGCCGGACGCCGCTGGTGCGTGGGGATGGACGCGCACACTTCTCGCGTCGTGCGCGCCATGGCGGCATGACCTCTCAGTTTTGCTTTTTATATTGAATACAGTGCATCAGAAAACGTTGCGGTTTTGCAACACAAATTCACCTGTGTCCAGTCTCTTTTTTTTTCTTGTTCATTCACCTCGCCAAGCACCAGCTCGCCGCCGGCGTAAACCGCCGTCCGGTGACTAACAAGTGGCATCAGAGCGAGAAGTTTGAGAGGACCTGCAGCGTCGCCATGGCTTCACCGCCATCGCGCCGCAGTCGCCCCAGCTCTGGGGAGAAGAAGGAGAAACCGGAGGGCTCCGGGAGCAGGACTCCGCGCCGCTCTCCGTCTCCAAGCCGTTCACCAACGCGTCGCTCACCGCGGCGTTCACGCACCCGCGACTCGCGTCGTGGGCGGAGCCGAGGGCATCGTGAAGTCATCGTCGAGCGCATCATCAAGGAGGGCCGCAGCGGCGGCACCTGGCCCCAACTCACGAAGACGAACTACGAGTGGTCCCTCCGGATGAAGCTCAGGATGGAAGCCCGAGAGCTTTGGGACGCCGTGGAGTATGGCGACGCCGACTTCACCGACGACCGGAACGCGCTCGACGCCATCTGCAGCGCCGTTCCGGAGGAGATGATCCCCGTCCTCGTCAACAAGAAGAACGCCAAGGAGGCCTGGGAGGCCATCCGCACCCTCCGCATCGGCGACGATCGGGTGCGCAAGGCAACGGCGCAGAACCTCCGCGCCGAGTACGAGTCGATCGCACTCCGGGACGGCGAGGCCATCGAAGACTTTGCACTGCGCCTCTCCAGCATGGTGCAGCGCCTGGCCACGCTCGGCGACCCGGAGCCCGACGAGAAGGTCGTCGCCAAGTACCTCCGCGTCGTCCGCCCACGCTACAAGCAGTTGGTAATCTCCATTGAAACCCTCCTCGATATCTCACAACTGTCAATTGAGGAGGTCACCGGGAGGTTGAAGGCGGCCGACGACGTCGTGCCCGCTCCGGCTAACACCGCGAGCGGGAAACTACTTCTCACGGAGGAGCAATGGGTGGAGAGGTACAAGAAGAAGTCCGGCGAGTCAGGGCGTGGCGGTTCTGGCTCTGGCGGACGCGGCAAGGGCCGCGGCAAAGGACGTGGGCGCGGTACCGGTGGCAACGGCGGCTCCAGCTCGTCGCGCCCGCCGCCGGATGAACCGTGTCCGCGCTGTGGCAAGAAAGGCCACTGGGCCAGCGACTGCTACACCAAGAAGAAGGAACAACCGGCCCACCAAGCCCATGTGGCCCAAGAGGAAGAACTGGGCACACTCATGATGGCCATCGCCTCAGCCCAGGAAGGGGGACAGCACCAGACTCCCTCTCCGTCAATCTTCCCCAACTCGCCACCGCCGCCGCCGCCCAAATCCGTCGTCGACGTCCACCTCAACGAGCCCAAGGTCTTCGCTGTCTTCGACGGGTCGCCTGATCCGGATCCGGCGCGATGGATCCTGGACACGGGTGCCTCCAACCACATGTCCGGGTCCAAAGCCGCTTTCGCCCACCTCGACTCAGGCATCCATGGCTCCGTCCGATTTGGGGACGGCTCCACCGCGCAGATCGAGGGCAGCGGCACCGTCCTCTTCACCGGCAAGAACGGGGAGCACCAGACGCTCTCCAATGTCTACTACCTCCCGCGCATCACCGCCAACATCATCTCCGTCGGTCAACTCGACGAGACCGGGTACCAAGTGCTCGTGGAGGACGGCTTCATGCGCATCCGCGACGAGGAGCGACGCCTGCTCGCCAAGATCCCAAGGAGCCCAGGCAGACTGTACGTTCTCACCGTCAACATTGCACGCCCGGTCTGCCTGGCCGCACGCGCCGATGACGAGGCGTGGACATGGCACGCTCGGTTCGGGCACGCCAACTTCACCGCGCTTCGCAAGATGGCTCGGCAAGAGCTTGTCCGGGGTATGCCCACACTCAACCAGAAGGAACAGCTCTGCGACGCGTGCCTCGCCGGCAAGCAGCGCCGAGCCCCGTTCCCGCAGAAGGCGCTGAGGCGTTCGACGGAACCTCTGCAGCTCCTTCACGGCGATCTCTGCGGCCCCATCACACCGGCAACACCAAGCGGCAATCGGTATTTTTTGTTGCTTGTTGATGATTATTCACGATACATGTGGATTGCTCTGTTGCCAAGCAAGGATGTCGCAGCCGCAGCCATCAAGAACATCCAGGCTACGGCAGAGCGCAAGTCCGGGAAGAAGCTGCTCGCCCTGCGTACCGATCGCGGGGGCGAGTTCGCGGCGGCCGACTTCAACGACTACTGCGTCCACCTCGGGGTCCGGCGCGAACTCACGGCCCCGTACACACCGCAACAAAACGGTGTCGTTGAGCGTCGCAACCAGACCGTCGTGGGGACAGCGCGCAGCATGATGAAGGACAAGGCGCTGCCTGGCGTGTTCTGGGGGGAGGCGGTCACCACTGCTGTCTACCTCCTGAACCGAACGTCGTGCAAGGCCAACCAAGGGGCGACGCCGTACGAGCTGTGGACCGGAAGCACACCGGCCGTTCATCACCTGTGCACGTTCGGCTGCGTCGCCCACGTCAAGGTGACCACGCCGAGCCCGAAGAAGCTGGACGACCGCAGCAAGCGCATGGTCTTCGTCGGCTACGAACCAGGGTCCAAGGCGTACCGGGTGTACGACCCCGTGACGCGGCGTGTTCACATAAGCCGCGACATCATCTTCGACGAGACAGCACAGTGGGCGTGGAGCGCCGACCAGAACGCCGGGCACGGCGAGTTCGTCATCGAAGAAGCCGACCCCGGGGAACCTGCAGTAATCACCACCACGGTGACATCGTCTGCCCCCGCAAGTTCTGCTTCACCGGCTTCCCCTGCGTCGACATCGCCATCACCCGGGAACATGGCTGCAGCATTGTCTCCACCAAGTACAGCTGCTGTCATGACACCGAGCCCGGGGCATCAGCAAGCCCTTGAGTTCGCGTCGCCTCCGGAGTCCGGCTTCAGCGATCTGCTGGACGCCGACCACGACGACGAGGCTCCCCTTCGGTTCCGGCGCGTCGACAACATCATAGGCGAATCGACACCACCCGGCTTCGTCGACCGGAACTTGGAGGAGCACCTCCTGCTGGCGAGCGACGCCGAGCCCACGTCGTTCGAAGAAGCGCTGAAGCATGAACACTGGCGTCACGCAATGCTTGATGAGATGACGTCCATCGAAGCCAGTGGCACCTGGGAGCTCGTCGATCCTCCTCGACGCGTGAAGCCGATAGGCCTGAAATGGGTCTACAAGACCAAGAAGGATGCCACTGGGGTGATCACCAAGCACAAAGCTCGTCTCGTCGCGAAGGGCTACGTGCAGCAGCAAGGGATCGATTTTGAAGAAGTGTTCGCTCCGGTGGCGCGGCTTGAGTCCGTGAGGTCATTACTTGCTCACGCCGCCTCACAAGGTCAAGCAATACACCACATGGACGTCAAGTCCGCGTTCTCGAATGGCGTGCTCCAGAACAAGTCTCGCGGAGCGACCGCCGGGGTTCGTGGTCTTGCGAGTCATGAGAACAAGGTGCTCCACCGGTGAAGGCACTCTACGGTCTGCGTCAAGCCCCCGCGCTGGTATGCCAAACTCGACTCCTCAATGATCGAGCTAGGCTTCCGGAGGAGCAGCTGACGAAACACGCCGTCTACCTTCGTGGAACCGGTGACCATCGCCTCGGTTGTCGGAGTCACGTGGATGACCCGGTGATCACGGGCGGCAACAATGAGGATATCATCAAGTTCAAGGAGGAGATGAAGTCCAAATTTCAGATGAGTGACCTCGGTCTCCTCCACTACTATCTGGGGTTGGAGGTGACCCGGTGAGTGAGGCCGGATCACTATCGCGAGCGCCCACGCCGCCAAGATTCTCGAGTCTGCTGGTCTGACCGGTTGCAACCCCACCACACACCCATGGAGCGGCGGCCGAAGCCGAGCAAGCAGAGTTCGCCCCCAATCTGTTGATCCAACCAGTACCGCAGCATTGTCGGCTCATCGCGCTACCTAGTGAATTCCGGCCGGATCTCGCATATGCACGTTGGGCTACGCCGGCCGCTTCATGGAAAAAGCCCACCGCCGAGCACCGACAAAGCGATCAAGAGAGTACTCAGTGCACGTTCTTGGTACTCTGCCTCTGGCGGCTGCCATTACCCGAGGATGAAAGAAGCTCGACTCGCCGGGCTACAGCCGACGATGACATGGCGGCGACATTGATACCCGCAAGAGCACAACTGGAGTTGGCTTTTTCCTCGGTGGCAGCATCATCACTTGGCAGTCCCAGAAGCAGCGAGTGGTGGCTTTGTCCTCCTGTGAAGCGGAATACATAGCAGCAGCCACCGCAGCCTGTCAAGGTGTCTGGCTTGCCCGTCTTCTCGCAGAGCTCAAGGGAGAGGAGGCAAGCCCGTTCTCACTGAAGATTGACAACGAGTCCGCCATCGCACTCAGCCGGAATCCTGTGTTCCACGATCGCAGTAAGCACATTGACGTCAAATTTCACTATATCCGTGAGTGTGTTGAAGAGAACAGGGTTCAGCTCCAGTCCATCAAGACAGAGGAGCAGTTGGCGGACATTCTGACCAAGGCGTTGGGACGAGAGCGATTCTGCGAGCTGCGTTCCAGACTTGGTGTTCTTCATGTAAAGCAGGCATACTAGGAGTAGGAGGAGATTTGTTAGTTACTCCTATATGCTAATAATAGGCATGTTTATTTTCAGTTAGAGCATGCGCACAGGCACCGGGTTGTGGTGTTCGTGCGCCGAGTAGTTCAGGTAGTTAGCATGCCGCTATGGCCGGACGCCGCTGGTGCGTGGGGATGGACGCGCACACTTCTCGCGTCGTGCGCGCCATGGCGGCATGACCTCTCAGTTTTGCTTTTTATATTGAATACAGTGCATCAGAAAACGTTGCGGTTTTGCAACACAAATTCACCTGTGTCCAGTCTCTTTTTTTTTTTCTTGTTCATTCACCTCGCCAAGCACCAGCTCGCCGCCGGCGTAAACCGCCGTCCGGTGACTAACAACTCTCTTCCTCCTGCTCCGGTATCTGTTCATCTTCTTGATCGTCTTTCACCTCCTCGACGCCGTAATTTGGATGATCGGCTAGTGAAGAGAAAGGGTCCCAAAAGCGGTCGCATCTCGGCGGCTGCGGCGATACCGGTGTGCCATTCATCGGACCAATGGATGAAGGACGGAAGAACGGGTCATCCGTCCCGAAGAATCTATCGATCGTAGCGGCCTCAATGGCTTCAGGCGGTTCCCACTGCTCCACCACCGGATGCACCGGAGCACCCGCCGTCCTCAGGCAGTTGATGACGAGAACCTTCTCGGGCGAGCCCGGGTGGTGCACGTACGAGGACTCCTGAAGCCGGTAGAGGTGCTCGTCCTCGGCGAAGTAGTACAAGAGGGCCATGGAGACGCGGCGGAGCGACTGGACGTAGGCGGCGTGGGAGGAGGCCAGCAGGTCCCGCTGCGCGATCGCCTTCTTCACGAAGCTCTTCCGGTCGTGGCAGGTCTTCACGGCCGCCACCTCGTCCAGCTTCGACGAGGAGCAGCCCATTGCAGCTGCGAGCTGCCTGCTCCTCCTCCTCCGGAATCAGGTCGGAGCAGGAAGTACGCCGAGGAGGACCTTGCTTGGAAGTAGCAATGGTGGTTTCCTTTTCGCGTATCAGATGCATGTGGATTGGGTATTGGGCCATTGGGATTTGGGAGAAGGTTAAGATTCTTGGTTTGTGCTGGGTCATGAAGAAACGAACATTTCTTGGGCGAGGTAACTGAAAGTGCTTGCTTATCGAGAACTCTTTTCTGGCTTGTGGACTACGAACAATCGAAAGAGTGGAAGTGATTATCAGATTCTGAACTTCACTGACGAGGTAAGCTCACAAGTCACAAGCTGGTTCTTTCACTTAACTTCACTGATGAGGTAGGAATCCTAAATGCTTGTTTTGAAGGGGAATGAAAAGAACTCCTGAAAAGAGGTAGGGTCAAATTTAACGGTGAAATTAGAAAATTGTAGTTTTTTTTTCTCGATCACGCAAATGGTTTGCACGTCTTTGTATTAAGGTAAAAAAAATCTAATACAACACGTCATAGCGACGCCCTAAGAGGTCAGAAGAATTGACATGGACGCTCATACCCATGCTAGTGTATTGGGGCGACCGACCCTTGCTCATGTGGAATTTGTTCTTTGTCTAAAATAAAATATTGGCCATGATGCTCTGAGACTCATGTAATGGAATTTGTTCGGTCCACCATTACATCTGGTCAGTGTGGAATAGCAGCTTATACAAAATCAGAATTTAATGTCATGAATGGATTATTTTTGTTGAGCTTTGTTGTGGTACCCTAAATAACAGTGAGCTGTTCATTTAATTAGATCGGAGGGTTAGAATCATCGGTTACTTATTATGAGATAATAGGTGAAATATACATATATTTTATTTTAAATTTTGTTTAATAGGGTAAATAAGAAAAGTTTTAGATATAAATATATTTTTTGATCTAATTGATGCATATGTAATCTACTAGATATTGTAAATATTTTTATTTTTGTAACTTTGGATATGAGATAATCTAATTAGCATAAAGCCACAAACTATCTATTTTTTATGTACCGCACATAGGTGCTCAACACGTTCGTTTCACGTACGTGTACAACTTATGTGCCCAACAAAAAATATACTTTACATACGTACATGAAATTTTACATGACCATTCTACGTGCTCAATGTACGTCACAGCTACATGTTGTGTTAGAAGGCTTTCTCAATCAGGTAACATAGTTTTAATCAAGTTAGCATAATATCACAATCAATTATGTCACGTGTCATTCGCGAAAAAAAATATGTTACGTGTTTAGCGTGTAACATGTTTTACATTACCAACGCTCATGGCTCAGTTAACGTATTAGATGTTGATATTATTCATGTATATAACGTATTTTTAATTATGTGAATTAAAAAATGTATTTGTCCGAATTCATATATTTGGTCATTTGGATCTATGAGCTTGCTAGCACCCGGATGTCCAGACCGACGGGGCGTCCGGACGTCTACGCCTATAGCCGTTTCCCATGCCGTTTCGTCCACCCCGAACGTCGCCAGCATCGGGAAGAGGGGGAGGGAACGGCGGATGCCAACCGGCCCCGGAAGGAAGAGACACCGAGGTGAGACAGCAGAAAGCGAGGGAGGTGCAACACTCGATCTACTTTTGAAACATCCAGATGCAACACTTGTAATATATATCTGAAGGCAGATGAAACACTTGAAACATACATCTGAAGCACTTATAAAAACACATGAAAAAACACTTGAAACTGATTACTTCTCTAAGTGGGCAGAAGTTGTAGCACTAAAAGAAGTCAAAGCGGAAAATGTTGAAAACTTTATAAGAACCAATCTTATATATCGATTTGGGGTTCCAGCCCGAATGATATCTGATAATGGCACGTCTTTTAAAAATAGACAAATAGAGAAGATGTGTGCTAAATTCAGAATTAAGCATCACTTCTCCACAGGTTATAATCCGGCCGCTAATGGTCAAGCAGAAGCATTCAATAAAGTGCTATGCAAGTTGCTTAAAAAGATGGTCTCACAAAATAAGAGACACTGGCATGAAAAGTTACTCGAATCCTTGTGGGCATATAGGACCACGACTCGGACGCCAACGAATGACTCCTTACTCACTTGTGTATGGAGGAGAGGCGGTCCTGCCACTAGAGGTGCAAATTGCCTCCTTAAGAGTTGCTATCCAAGAAGAACCCAATGAAGATGAATCGGCAAAATTACGCCTAAGGGAACTAGACATCCTCGAAGAAAAACGTCTTCGTGCATTGCAAAACTTGGAGGCATACCAAGCTAGAATGTCCCGAGCTTTTGACAAGCGCGTAAGGAGGAGGTCGTTCAAAGAAGGGGATTTGGTTCTAGCGGTCATTCGGCCTATGAATATTACTCATCGAATGCAAAGCAAATTCGAGCCTAAATGGGAAGGTCCTTATATTGTGAAGGATGTCTACTCTAGTGGCGCTTATAGAATCATATCCCCAGATGGCGAGTATTGCCCACCGCCAGTAAATGGAACATTTCTAAAGCGTTACTATGCGTGAGGAAATATGCATAACGCTCCATTGCTACAAGAGCCTAAACTGTTAGCACCCAAAAAAACGCTCCTTCATGAGCCTAAACTGTAAAGAAGACGTACGCTCTATAGCTTCACGAGCCTAAACTGAAGCTGAAGTAAAAAAAAAGATTCATAATGCTCCATTGCTACAAGAGCCTAAACTGTTAGCACAAAAAAAAGCGCTCCTTCATGAGCCTAAACTGTAAAGAAGACATATGCTCCATAGCTTCACGAGCCTAAAAATAAGTCAAGTAAAAAAAGATTCATAACGCTCCATTGCTACAAGAGCCTAAACTGTTAGCACAAAAAAAATGCTCCTTCATGAGCCAAAATCAGAAGAAAAAACAAATGCTCCATAGCTTCATGAGCTTAAACTGTAGCGTAAAAAAAACCAATGCTCCATTGCTTCATGAGCTTAAACTGTAGCATCAAGAATAAACAAAATCACAAGGCTCCATTCCTTCACGAGTTTAAACTGAAACAAAAAATATATAGCTCCACTGCTACATGAGCCTAAACTGTTAGCACACAAAAAAGAGAAAAACGTGCTCTTTCATGAGCCTAAACTGTAAGCAAGAAAAAAGAAGAAGAAATGTTCCATAGCTTCATGAGCATGAACTGAAGCTAAAAAGAAAATATATAAAAAAGATGCTCCATTGCGACATGAGCCTAAACTATTGGCATGAAAATAAACAAATGCCCCCAATGCATCTTCAATGCATCATGAGTTTAAACCAATGCAACAAAAAAAAAAATCCAAAGTTCTTAAATTTAAACTACGACCATAGAACGAACATTTAAAATGTTATGTCCTCAAAGAGTCTGATATAAAGACCAATATAACGTGAGACTATACGTCATTGCTTGATAAATGTCATTTATATGCGCAAATCTCCGTGTGAATCAAGTGCTCCAAAATATGTTTCCAAAAAAAAAGCGAGATCATAAATAAAAAAAATCTCAAGTTTCGAGCTCCGGATCCGTCAACATATATGAAGTAGTTTCGCATCCGGACCTCGAGGGGACATCTGTTGACACCAATTTTGGCATACCCAAAATGTGTGAAAACATTTATAGCATATTAAATAAAATGGTATAGATGATCAAGTTTTATATGAATATGATATAGGCAAATAAGGAATAATATAACATCGTTAAAGAGGAAAAGAAGATGGAGCAAAAAGAAAAAGGAGACACACATGTACATATATGCATGAGCGTGTTCACGCCTTGACAAATAAACAAAAGCACGGCAATCACATGTCCCATAAATACACCCGGCCGTAAATACATACACGCATATACATACACATGGGTTAATCAAAACATGGCCATGCAAGTACGTGTGTGGTACATACACAGCAAGCGTATATCACGTACGTGCACGCCGGCCAGGAAATAAGCTATTTCCTATTCTCCTTAATCACTTCAGTTAAAGAATAAACAAATGGTCCAAATGCCAGTTGCCAGGCGAGGAGGCAGCTCCTGAGCGCGCTTTACACATTCAAATAGAGTCAAGCGTTGGTCATGTCTCCTATTCGCTGCTGCGAGACCGGGTCATATGCAACTTCCACGTCCGCACGATCAGCGCGCTCAGCAATTCAAACAAAGGCGCCCGCGCCGCATAATCAAATGAAAAAGAGCGCCAAATTGCTGAGGAACGGCTGCTCGCTCTGCTCTATAAATAGCAGGCCACGGCGATCATTCAAGACCCCCCCGGCTCTCCCACACATCACAGTGCCGCCAGGCTGCTGCCACATACACACATACACCCGCTCTCTGATCACAGTGCCTCCTGGCTGCCTCTCTGCCGCATCACCAGAGGCCAGAAGCCTACGACGCCGTTCCTGCACCAGTTGGAGTTTCAGGGAAGGTGAGAGGCTCTCTCCATCTTCACGACTTCACAGTGCTCGGCGGCAACCAGATCTTCACCGGCAACTTGTCGTGCCCCGGTATACGGCTGGCCTATGTCATTGCGGATGGGCAGTGCACGTAGGTCTTACCCCGGTAAAAGGTAAAAGAAATGGTGATGGCTGCACTATGCGTATGGGCTGCAAGCCCCGGTAAAAGGTCGGCCAACAGTGCCACGACCGCGCTTTGCGCATGGGCGATATGCTCCGGTGAAGGTGTAAAAAGGCAGCAAATATGCCTCGGTGAAATACGGGTTTGGATGCGTTTTGGCTCCATCCCATGGTTGAAAATTGGGTCGGACGCGCTTTGGCTCCACCCCGGTTATGTTCATGGTAAATTTGATATGGACGCGAATCGGCTCCATATCTAAACAAATCTACATGTGTTTTGGCCACGGCAACGCCGGCCCGTTCTTATCATGCATCAAAGAAAATAAAGAACTTGCATGCTACTGCCATGAAGAAAGATTATGCATGGGTTTCTATCAAATCAAAGAAACAATCATATGTGCAAACGAAATTATATAAAAAA